GTACCATCAACAACAATATCAAATGAAACAATTGAAAAAATAGCTTTATATCTTGTTAATTATCTAGGTGAAACAACAATAGTATCAACAAGTATAACAATGACAACAACAGTAACAACAGCAATACCAGTAGCAACGGCACCAGCCAAACCAACTGGGATACTAAAATTAGCAGAAGATAATAATTATAATGAAGAGGAAGCTAATCAGTTAGAAGAAAAAGCAGAGAAATTAGTAGACTGTGTAGAAAATTTTGAATTAAGTTTGGTGAAGTTGGGTGTGCAAAAAAATGATTCTTGTATATCATGTGATCAGATAAATACTTTATCTAATTTTAATACAAATTCTACTGCATCAAAAAACGAATCAGTAGCAATATTAAAATTATTATATTCATTAGGAGAAGCAATGGTAGATGATGATGATGATAAGTGTAAATTTAGCTTAAAATGTATGAGCACAAATGGTACTTGTGCTCAAAATTCCCAAAATTCTCAAAGTTCAGGATGTAATTCAAACTTTGTCAGCAATGTTATTATGACAATAGGAATAATTCTATGTATAACAATAATGAATCTATATTTTGTATATGACAATGCTCAATTATAGCACTAGATGTATAATTCTATTAATTATTCTCACAAAGCTACATGTTTATTGGTTATACTATCCAGTGCATATAAATTTTTAATTAGTTGGAGAGTGTTCTTAAGCGCCTCAATTAATGAGTCAAAGAATGGCAATTCTTGAATGTGTGCCAGATTGGTGGCGCATTAATTAGCCACAATTATCTCTTTATTTCACTATGTTCATAAAATTTATTTTTGATTAAAAACTTCCACCATGTGCTTCTTCAACCGTTCTGTACTCTGAATATTTTCTATTGTTCTTATGTGAATTGAAGATATATAACAGAAACATGAATACAGTCGATTCTCTCTAAACAGAACTATTATAATTTTTAAAATTTTAGTTCATTATAAAAAGGCTCATTATAAAGAGAGTTGACCGTACTTAAAATATGTAAGAGTACGTTACAGTAATTTCAGAAGTATAACAAAGCTTATAAAATTTAGTTTTAAAAATGAAACCCATTAAGAATAAGAACACTACTATTATTCTTTTTTAAAGATACGTTTCAGCGTCGATTATAAGAAATTTTTTCATTTAAAGAATTTTTTTTATAAACGATATAGTACGTGTTTATTAGCTACATATTTGTGTTTATTTGAGATTTATTATCGTACTTTTAAGGTCAAGTTGTGACCTGAAAATTATATCTTATAGACATTATAGATAAATGTAAAAGAATATGGATATTTTTGTTGAGTTCAAAATGATAATATTAGAAGCTAAAGGTTATGAAAAAATAGTAAGACCATTTTATTCGAGTAGAATACTGGTAAAAAAATGGTGCTTTCGTTCTATTAAAACTTATAATTTTATTGTTGTTATTAGAATTTTTTAATTAGCGCAAATTACTTGGTCTGATTAATGCGCCACCAATTCAAGAATTGCCAAAGAAGTCGAAAATGTGTCGGGAATTAAATTTTAATCACAGTATCAGGAAGTATTTTTAATTGATCAACCAGCTTGTCATTAAGATAAGTAAGGGCACGTCCGTAATCTGTGACAGGTTAAGCCACTGATTTCAATCACCGTCCGACTATGCCTTAAATCAGGATGAAAAA